CATTCCCACCTGGACAAAGCTTTTCCCAGGATTATAATTCCCAGGATCATCCCAAAAATTCCCACCCGAACAAAGCTCTTCCCAGGGTTATATTTCCCGGGATCATCCCAAAAATTCCCAGCTGGACAAAGCTTTTCCCAGGGTTATTTTTCCCAGGATTATTCCCAAAAATTCCCAGCTGTCCCAGCCTTTTCCTGGGATCATCCCAAACATTCCCATGTGCCCCAGCCTTCTCCCAAGATTATCTTTCCCAGGATCATCCCAAATATTCCCACCTGGACAAAGCTTTTCCCAGGATTATTTTTCCCAGGATCATCCCAAACATTCCTGGGATCATCCCAAAAATTCCCACCTGGACAAAGCTCTTCCCAGGGTTATTTTTCCCAGGATTATTCCCAAACATTCCCACCTGGACAAGGCTTTTCCCAGGATTCTCTTTCCCAGGATTATTCCCAAAAATTCCCACCTGCCCCAGCCTTTTCCCACAATTATCCCAAAGATTTCCACCAGCACCAGCCTTTTCCCAGGATCATCCCAAAAATTCCCAGCTGGACAAGTCTTTTCCCAGGGTTATTCCCAAACATTCCCACCTGTCCCAATTATTTCCCGGGATCATCCCAAACATTCCCACCTGGACAAAGCTCTTCCCAGGGTTATTTTTTCCAGGATTATTCCCCAAAATTCCCACCTGGACAAAGCTTTTCCCAGGATTATCTTTCCCAGGATTATTCCCAAACATTCCCACCCACTCAAGGCTTTTCCCAGGGTTATTTTTTCCAGGATTATTCCCCAAAATTCCTACCTGGACAAAGCTTTTCCCAGGGTTATTTTTCCCAGGATTATTTTTCCCAGGATTATTCCCAAAATTCCCACCTGGACAAAGCTCTTCCCAGGATTCTCTTTCCCAGGATCATCCCCAAAAATTACCAGCTGGATGAGTCTTTTCCCAGGATTATTCCCAAACATTCCCACCTTCACCAGCCTTTTCCCACAATTATCCCAAAGATTCCCACCTGGACAAGGCTTTTCCCAGGATTATTTTTCCCAGGATCATCCCAAAAATTCCCAGATGGACGAGTCTTTTCCCAGGATTATCTTTCCCAGGATTATTCCCCAAAATTCCCACCTGGACAAAGCTTTTCCCAGGATTATTTTTCCCGGGATCATCCCAAACATTCCCGGGATCATCCCCACCATTCCCACCCGGATCTCCCCATCCCTGCAGGTCCCACCTTTCCCCCCCACATTCCCGGGATTCCTCCCCCCCTCCAGTGGGATGAGGAGCTGTTCCCAAGGCCTCCAGCCCCTCCAGCCCCCTCGGGAATTCCCAAATCCCAAGGAAAAATGGGGAATTGTCTCTCACCTCCTTGCGCCACTTGAGCTCGCAGAAGACGCGCTCGAAGCACTCGTGCATGTAATTGAACTGTGGAGACACGGAATTCCAGGGATTTGGGGCTGATCCCGGGGATCCAGGACATTCCAGAGGGGCCAGAGGGGAGCCAGGGGTGATCCCAGGGATTCCAGGGATCCTGGACAAGCCAGGAGATCCTGGAGCAATCCCAGGGATCCCAGAGGGGCCAGAGGGGAGCCAGGGGTGATCCCGGAGATCCTGGACAGGCCAGGGGATCCAGAGGGCATCCAGAGGGGATCCAGGGGCAATCCCAGGGATCCTGGACAATCCAGGGAATCCTGGGAGGAGCCAGGAGCTCCAGGGAGGATCCAGGGGCAATCCCAGAGATCCTGGACAAGCCAGGAGATCCCAGGAGGAGCCAGGAGCTCCAGAGGGGATCCAGGAGCTCCAGGGGTAAGCCCAGAGATCCCGGACAATCCAGGAGCTCCAGGGATGATCCAGGAGATCCACAGACAATCCTGGAGATCCTGGACAAGCCAGAAACTCCAGGAGCAATCCCGGAGATCCTGGACAAGCCGGGAGATCCAGAGGGGATCCAGGGGCAATCCCAGAGATCCTGGATAAGCCAGGGGATCCAGAGGGGATCCAGGGGCAATCCCAGAGATCCCAGACAATCCAGGAGCTCCAGAGGGGATCCAGGAGATCCAGGGACAAGCCAGGAGATCCTGGACAAGCCAGGGGATCCAGAGGGGATCCAGGGACAATCCCGGAGATCCTGGAGAAGCCAGGAGATCCAGAGAGAACCAGGAGCTCCAGAGGGACCAGCAGCTCCAGAGCAGCTCCAGAGGGAACCAGGAGCTCCAGGGATGAACCAGGAGCTCCAGGGATGAGCCAGGAGCTCCAGGGATGAGCCAGGAGCTCCCAGAATGAGGCAGGAGCTCCAGAGGGAACCAGGAGCTCCAGAGGGAACCAGAAGCTCCAGAGGAGCTCCAGAGGGGAACCAGGAGCTCCAGAGGGAACCAGGAGCTCCAGAGGGAACCAGAAGCTCCAGAGGAGCTCCAGAGGGGAACCAGGAGCTCCAGGGATGAACCAGGAGCTTCAGGGATGAACCAGCAGCTCCAGAAGCACCAGGAGCTCCAGGGATGAACCAGGAGCTTCAGGGATGAACCAGGAGCTCCAGGGATGAGCCAGGAGCTCCAGAGCAGCTCCAGAGGGAACCAGGAGCTCTGGGGAGGAACCGGCAGCTCCAGAAGGGAACCAGCAGCTCCAGGGATGAACCAGGAGCTCCAGAGCAGCTCCAGAGGGGAACCAGGAGCTGCAGAGCAGCTCCAGAGGGGAACCAGGAGCTCCCAGGATGAACCAGGAGCTCCAGAGCAGCTCCAGGAATGAGCCAGGAGCTCCAGAGCAGCTCCAGAGGGAACCAGAAGCTCCAGAGGGGAACCAGAAGCTCCACAGTGGAACCAGCAGCTCCAGAGCAGCTCCAGAGGGAACCAGGAGCTCCAAAGGGAACCAGGACCTCTGGAGATGAGCCAGGAGCTCCAGAGGAGCTCCAGAGGAGAACCAGGAGCTCCAGAGGGGAACCAGCAGCTCCAGGGATGAACCAGGAGCTCCAGAGCAGCTCCAGAGGGGAACCAGGAGCTCCAGAGGAGCTCCAGAGGGGAACCAGGAGCTCCCAGGATGAGCCACGAGCTCCAGGGATGAACCAGGAGATCCTGGGATCAACCAGGAGCTCCTGGGATGAGCCAGGAGCTCCAGAGCAGCTCCAGAGGGAAGCAGGGGCTCCAGAGCAGCTCCAGAGGGGAACCAGGAGCTCCAAAGGGAACCAAGACCTCCGGAGATGAGCCAGGAGCTCCAGAGCAGCTCCAGAGGGAACCAGGACCTCCCAGGATGAACCAGGAGCTCCAGAGGAACCAGGAGCTCCAGAGGCTCCCCAGCAGCTCCCAGGTCCAGCCCTGCTCTCTGTGCCCGGGGTTCCCTCCCTGGCCCTCCCTGGGGGATCCCAGGGGTGTTCCCAGTTTCCCACTTTCCCTGGGGGATCCCAGGGGTGTTCCCGGTTTCCCGCTTTCCCGAGGGGATCCGGGGGGATCCGGGGGTGTTTGGGCCACTCACGTATGGGGTGAAGATCTTGACCCATCGCGGTTTCTTCTCCCCCCGCGCGTACTCGAAGCAGAAAGCCATCCCCTCCTCGTCCGTGTCCCAGCGCTGCATCTCCTCCCACGAGAACGCGATCACCTGGTTCTGGGGACACCAGGGGGAGTCACGGGGAGACCAGGGAGTCATGGGGAGACCAGGGGAGTCACGGGGAGACCAGGGAGTCATGGGGAGACATTGAGAGCCATGGGGAGACCAGGGGAGACATTGGGAGACCAAGGGAGACAAGGGGAGACAAGGGGAGACCAGGGGAGTCACAGGGAGACGAGGGAGCCATGGGGAGACTAGGGGAGTCATGGGGAGACCAGGAAAGTCATGGGGAGACCAGGACAGCCCTGCTGTCCCAGC